ACCTGCAGGATGTGGAGATCCATTTCACCTAGCGACTTCTTTACCAATCATTATCAGGAATTTCCCCAGTTAAAAAGCAATGTACATCACTTCTGACTCCGATTGACTCTGCTGAGCAAAACTGACTGGTTGATAAGAGAACCACTGCCACAACTGTTGTCAAAACTTTGTGACTTAAACTTTTACTCAAATGGCCAATTAAAGAATTAGCCTAAGAGGTTAGTGGGACCAGTAGGAAGTGCCCACCCAGCAGTCTACATGGATCCTAAAGCCCAAGTAAAGTGATGGTGACACTAGGTGTGTTACCCTGGCGTCCTGACCAAATTCCTCCCTGTACCAATCATGGCCTCCTAATAATCCCTATCTATGACTTGGCTTCATTACTTCTCCTCACTGGTAGCTGATGTGTGGTGAGTGTACTGGCGCACTTTGGCTGCCATCGCATCATCCAGGTGGATGCTGCACATTGGTGGTGGTGGAGGGGAGTCCCCATTACCTGTAAAGCGCTTTGAGTGGAGTGTCCAGAAAAAGTGTTACATAAATAGAAGGATTTATTTACTTATGAGTATCTGAATGTTAAATATGTTAATGAGACTGATTAACAAGTTAGTGTAACGGATGGTATGTTAAATGCATAATCCTTGTTTTTATATCTCTTCTTGATATCTTTTATAGCGTGATAGCCCTCAAGCAACAATCTGCATCTTATATTTATGCAGACTTTCACATATTTACCTTGAGTTCTTTTATGTACATATTCCTTTTTGTTTATCAATAAATGTATTCCGTGTGTGGCGAATCAATGTTCAGACTCCTTATTATTCAGTTGATTGATTCCTAATGGCCAAGTTAAATTCATGCAATTCACTGTTACAATTACAATTGTGGCAGCAAGTTCGCACAAACCCCTACAACATTATGGTATCATTGATAGCCAAGGTATACACATGGTATATTTGTACCCTGTACCAATTGTCTTTCCTAACCTCCCTTTTCACCTTTTTCTACACTGCCCTCCTGAGCCCCATGTCGCCTTGAAAAAAGGAGCACTTAGTTGAGATTCTTGGTTACTCAGGGTTTGTTATTAAGGAAAAACCTTAAAGTACTTGGTAGCAATAATTGTGTCTACACAGCCAGAAACGTCATCTGAAATATAGCCCTTGTGTTTTCTTGACTCAATTATTTGACAAATATTACTGTTCTGTTTTGCTTTGGATTAATTCAGTCACTATTCATCTGATCCACCTGCATAATCATTTTCAGACTGCAGTGGTTACAGCAAGTCAAATCCTAAGAAGAAATAGCATGTGCATCAGCAGAATGACTGCAGTGCACCATCTGCATGAAAATAATCTGCATGTCTGGAATCTATCAAGGGGAAACATGTTGATAAGAAATGAGATGGTCATCCTGCCTTTGTAGACAGCATCACAGAGATGGCAGCAGAAAATGTGATGGAGTGTGAAATTCGCAGACGAATGTCATTTAACCCTTGAAAAATCTGACAGAAGTTGTGAGATGCAGAGATGTCACAGTGACCATTATGCTGGCTGTCGTGCTGTACAGATTGACCATGGATCACAACAACATGACTAAAAAAACATGTCAGGCCCTTGCTTTATGCCAGCAGCCAACCCTTTTCCTTACATTGGCAGGTCCAAAAGATCACCTTGCTAATACCACCTAATACAAATAATAATGCTAATTCTCTCAACAGGAAACAACCATGACAGCCCAACCTTTTCTAGCTTGCTGCTGCTGCTCAGGAAGTGTAGACTACTCATTAATTACTGGACTTCTACTGATCTAATCTAGTCTAACAGAGGTTCACTTAGAGACTTCTCGGGTGTTTGATCAGATGTGTTTATTAACCCTGCCAGGATTGTGTGAATGTTCAGGGAAGTTACAGTATATTGGAAAACCTAATTTTGATAGTGTGCTATCATACTAAGATCCTATCAAGATTCAGAATCTCAATTTTTCTTAATAATGTCTGTGATTGCTATATGTTTTAAGTACTTTATCATATCAACTAGACCCAAGTATCACTTTTTTGTGCCTAGATACAGGCAAAGGTGTAGTAATAAAAAACAAAGCGGGCATACTTAAAAAACATTAAAAAAACAAAACAACATTCAGAAATATTCTGAGAGCTTGGGTAATCAAATGTGCAAAACTCTGATATATAGTCCAAATATGAGCACAACTTGGGCTAGGGTAGAACCAATATAAATATAGTCTGTAAAGGAATCACATGTTGTCACAAACCAGAGTTAATAAAATCTGAAAGATAATGGATGAAATGCATGTTCTCAAAAATGAAGGCTTCACAAAAGGTCACACAGTAAGGAAAGAAATACAGTTTCTGTATTCACTGTGTGCAAATATTATGCACTGTGCATTAAATGCACTGTGTGCATTATTAATGCCATTAATTAATTATTATTAATTATTAATGCCACAGTGAAACATGCTTCCTACTGCATCATGGTTACAAATTTGAGGCACTAATAAACCGAATGTTTTAGTGCAATTGCTATTATTTGCTTATATTTACAGTAACAAGATTAGTATACAGGTGCTATTGAAGTATTATAACACTTATTCTATTGCCTTCTACAGTAAAAACGATGTTATATTTAACGGTGAGAGAGAGCATTATACTATTTGAATTTAATGTAATCAACTGCAGCCAACAAGCAGTGTTGTGTCTGTAATATCAGTTCTTGAATATTAATCAGACAGCAGAGGTTCTCTGAAGAACTAGTCTCGGCAGTGGCAATGTTAACATAAGTGGCAACTTGAAAGAGCAAGGTTACTCAGAACACCACATGAATAAGAATGACATTATTAAGCACATGGGATGATTATACAAAAAGAGTTACTTTATATCATAGGTTTATAAAGTGAAAAACCTCTATATCAATATATTAAAGTTCCTCTATAAGAACATCAACTATTAGCAAAGTTTTACATTCACAAAAACACAGTACAAATGTCATCTCTTTTTCTTCTTACTTGTAAGTTTCTTGGGAAAAAAGCAAGGGTATCAACTTTTCTCAGCTGTGGCCGGGTAAGCTCATCCCAGACTCCTTCCTGCCTTTGTGAAAATCAATACAAACTTCTCGAAAGCTTCTCTTTTGGAGACTAATAGGATTGAGCTTTTCTGATATGCTGTCATAATAATCCATGTAATTACCATTTCATGATATTGAAGCAATGCTTCCTTGAGGATGCAGGGACAGGAGAGCAGGACTGCAGGCTCACCAGTGTTTGTTTTCCTCTAATGGTTAGCTGGCTTGTGTGATAATCAGGAGAGGGTTAGAGAGCAAGCGTGAGGGAATGTCGTAATGTGTTTGTACAGTAAATGTCTGTGAATGTTGTGTTAATTGTATCAGCTTTGGCAACAGTGTAATTTATCCGTCATGCAAATAAAGCTCTTTGAATTTGATTTAGAATTTAGCAGTAGCTTAGCAGTCCACGAGGAAGAAAGAGAAAGAAAGGAAAGGTCCCCGTTTTATATAGGGGGAGAGAAATGAAATAACAAAGAATGAGAAAAACATTTTTAAAACCTATAAGTATATAATCAAACAACAAATATAGCAAACACTTAGACATAATACACGAAAGTAACTAAATTAGAATGACTTTTTAACAAGTTTATAAAAAAACTGTACATTACTCTCCACTGTCCAGTAAGTAAACACAAAATAAAACACACAATAAAAAATAAAAACAACAAAATCCCTTGGGTGCTTCCCTGACATGATTGTAACACAGGTTAATCACAATTTTCAATGAAATAGCACAAGATAACATCCAGTAGTTACCACACGTATAACAAGCGAGATGAAATGTGAAACCATGTTGTATTAGTAACATCCCGTTTACTCCACGATATTCATCTGTGGTGAGAGCTTGCCAAACTGCTTCCTTTTAGGCATGTAATGTAAACTCATCTTAAGTAGGAAATTTTATTATAGGAAGTCATGGGAGGTATTTATGAAAAATTGAATAGGTTATTTAGTAGTGGTGCTATTTGGAAGTAACTCAATTTAAATTCTGCATTTCTAAGCATATATCCTAATAATCTAGCATGCATGACAGTCTAACTGACTCACTTGTCTTCACTGTTAATCCATCTAATGACACCAGCAGAATGAATTCCAAAGTTGACAAAAAAACATCGCGTCTCTTTATGCAGCAGAGATGTTTCCATAGATAGAGTAAACAGATCAATTCAGGGAGGTGAGGATGGAAAGCTGAGGAAACTGAATACCAGAGTGACACCCCTCGGCTACATTAGGCATAGTGATGAGGCTCACAATTCTTCAATGTGAGGGAAATGCCAAGAGGTAAGAAGGTGGTAAAGACAAAATCAGATTATTTAGAACTTTGCACGTCTTACCTCCTGTATAATCAAATCCCTTTCTCTGTTTCCTGTAAGAACTTCAGGAATAACAAAGAGGGGGCAATCACCAGAACCAAATCAGCAAGATGATGATTGTCTATAACAGTCCTTATGTCCTTGAAAGAAAATGAGAAGGGCTTTTTCTACTCCTCCACTCATCAGGGTGAGGACCCTCCCCATTATGCACAGCACAAAAAGCTTTTAAAAGGTCTTATTAGAAATCTGGCCACGTATCTATTTTCTTCTTGAAGTAACGGAAGCGTGATCGAATCTATAGAATCTAGCAAGCTGTCGCCTGGATAGAGATAACTGTCTGTGTACGTCCCTGCTTGAAAATGTTAATCCTTGTTCTTTAGTGGGAAAATAGAATTTGAGTTTATTTTGCAGTTAATTATATGTATATATACTTTCTGATGAATGCACATATCTGCATTAAAAATATTCAATTCAAAATAACGTCAGCTTTATAGTGCAACAGAAAGAAGAAATGAGAAACCAGGTGAAAGAAGTAAAACTTCATTTTGAGTCAGATTATTATGTTTTAAATTAGATTAACTGTCCTGTTTGGACTGATGATTTAAGATGTTACCTTTTGTCTTCCAGGGCAAGGTGTTGTAGCTGATCCAGCCAAAGAATATCCCCTTCTCTTCGGTTGAAAAAGATTAACTTGATTTTTCTGAAAACAAAAAGGAAACTTAAGTTCAAAACACTTGTTAATAGATGTGCCTATTCTCAGCTCACAAGGTAATTAAGGCGTTGACAGGAAATCTAATAATTCTAATGATCAGCAGCAATATAAAGGTAACAGATGATATGCATCAGGGAATTCTTGTCTCCCCAAATTAAAAAAGAGCATGCATGTTGGAAGATAATACTAAGAAAATTTCAGTAACACATTTTCTGACCGTCAGAGAAAACAATACACCATTACTTAATGATATAATGCACTTCCAATAAGATAAAAAAGCAACAATGTCCTTTCTCTGACCTTTAAAATGAAAATTAACTTTCGTATTAACTTTTTCCAGATGACCTGCCAATTCTAATTTCTACATCTCTCTTCCTGGGAAAAAAAAAGTATTTTAATTTTAAAAAATGTACACTCAGGAAAGAAATAACAACATAGCAAACCTTGTAGTGTGGGACAGTTTAGCAACTGTCATAATTGTACTTGGAGTTCTAAATCTGCTCATAACGCTTCTAAAGAATGAAGTGTGTTAGCCAGCAGTTTAAGGAAAATTGTACAGGGCCACGCTGCATAGCATGATATTTCATCCAAGATGACTTATTTCAGAATCTCCCTATTTGTTCACCCATGACTAGAGAAGGTTTTCTTGGAAGGAAATTCTAGACATATTGCATTATTTAAGAATTATGAATAAAGAATGCAAGATTTATGCAGCTGTACATGAAAGGTACCCTTTCTCTACATGAATCCCCAGAGTTAGAGCCTTTTGTAACAACAAAGCAAGCTGGGGCCACTTACTCTCTTCTTTCCTCATTCACAAATGCACACTACAGAACAACCTAAAACAAGGAAATATAATAATTCATAATAATTGCTTACACTTATATAGCGCTTTTCTGGACACTCCACTCAAAGCGCTTTACAGGTAACGGGGACTCCCCTCCACCACCACCAATGTACAGCATCCACCTGGATGATGCGACGGCAGCCATAGTGCGCCAGAACGCTCCCCACACATCATCAGTGGGGAGGAGAGCAGAGTAATGAAGCCAATTCATAGAGGGGGATTATTAGGAGGCCATGATTGATAAGGGCCAATGGGAAATTTGGCCAGGACGCCGGGGTTACACCCCTACTCTTTTCGAATATAAGGCTATTTACAGGACCCAACAAGCAATAAAAACTATTCACAATAAATCACTCCCTTGTGCGTCCTCAGGGCACCATTTATGTTACAATATATTCTTTAACCTCCTTTATACTTTGAGCTGTAGGGTGGGCATGTCTCCTGCTGCCTCTTCCTCACTATCATGATCTCAACTGCTGTATTCAGTTTAAGTGTGGACCTCTGCAGGTGATTCAGGCTGTGGGAGGCTACATGCCATCCTGCTGTCAGAAACAGCCAGCTGTAACTATTGCATATTCTGAGCACAGCTGTAATTCCTGAAGGCATGCAGCTTGTATGACGCAGATTCCAGGCACTGCCCATTCTGCATTTGTTGTACCATGTTAGCTTTAAAATTATATTATACTTCTTTAATTATAATTTGGTTGCTGCAGCCAGAATTGCTAATGCAGTATTTAATGATGGAGAAAACATAGGACAGCTTTTTGTCCAAGCAAAACACACAATATCCAGTAATAAACAAATGGCTTGCACAGAAGAATCCAGAAAGCTCCTAAGAGTAGCTACCCAGCAGGAGATGCAGCAATAATGAACAAGGGGCTATAATCACACTGTTTATACATATAATGTATAATATGTATATAACGAATATACTTTATACAGTCAAGTTTAAATAATTAATAAATTGCAGCACATATGTTATTTTTAATTTATATTATGCTATTTTCAATTATATTGATGATATTATTTCTACTTTATATTGTGCCATTTCTGATTATTTTCTTGCAACTGGTTGTGAAGTGGCTTTTGCTTTTCTATAACACTAAACTATCATAATTCTACCTAAACCATTCTTTACTAATCAAATTATGAAAAAAAGTAACAATTCTATGCTGGTGGCCTTATGTATGCACAATATTATATTAATAATAATACACTGTAATACATTTAGGTGATGAGTCTGGAAAGTATTGATTATGATAATCCGACAGCACATGTAATTAACAGCAAGGTTTTAGGTTTAGAATACCAGCACTAATTTTAATCCAGCCAACAATTTTCTAAACCTCTTTATGTAGTGCAGGGACACAGGGATGGTCTAGCCTAGCCCGGCAAGTAACGGACACAAGGAAGGATAAAACCTTGGGCAAAACGCAGGGAACATACAGACACACATACACACACACTCACACCAGTATCATTTTTACAGAAGCCACTTAACCCACCAGTATTTCTTTGGACTGTGGGAGGAACTGGGAGCACCTGGAGGAGACCCATGCAACATGGGGAGAACATACTGTACAAACTCCATGTAGACAGCACCCTAGGAACTGAACCCTAGGCCCCTATGCTTCAAGGCAGAAATGCTAACCACGACATCACTGTGCCACACACCAATTTTAAAAATTATTGCAAGTTAATAATACATCCCCTAAAGTGAGATTTTAAAGGCATCCATGTGGTCCTTTGTTTCTGATATTGTTTAATACTGAAGGAATTAACAGGAGACAAAACATTTACAGCAATTACAAACTACACACCAAATACAAAACACACAAACAAATTATTAACAATCACTGTGAATCTCTCAGTCCAGGCTTTTTACAGTCTAAAGCTACCTTCACTTGATCTCTTAAAGATGGACTAATCTTACATACTAACCCTAACAGGAGCTAATGTCAACGTCTACATAACAAATGGCAGTTTATTCTCTAAAACTAGTGCTAAACTAGAAGAATTGCTTTTTTTTAAACCAGATAGTACACACAATGGGTACACTGCAGCTGTATTGGGGACATTAAAATATTAAAAGAAAATAAATCTTTTCACAAGAGCAATTTTAGATGTTCTGAAAGCATTTCAAAATTTGCTGCCTCTCTCTACAGTGCACAAAAATACCTGTTAGGTTTCAACCCTCAAAGAGTAGTGTTGAGCTATTGGCCTGAAGGTAGTCCTCATTCCTCAACAACACTCGAATGTCTTCAGCTCTGGAGACAGATTACTAGGGCAGTCAAACCACTGATATACTGAACTGGCCCTTACATCTTAATTCATGGCATCTTTACTATACTATTTTACATGAGATCATGCCCGTTTGTATTTCCTACTTAAAGGAAAAATGTTCTATACATGTGGCTTAAGCAGGGCCGGCACCAGGGGAAAAATCTGTAGGGGGGCGTCTGACATTCCGAGGGGGGCGGTGAAATTTCGGTTTAAATGGAGCCGTTGCAACTACCCAAGTGAAATCTCACAACAATGCCACTGATTAGTGCTTCATGATAGAAGACAATGATGAGCAATCTGGTATTTAGCGATGAAGTACTTTTTCACGTTCATCAGCACTCTTGCGATTATTAATGCCTGGAGCGACCAAATACCATTTGCAGGTTCTGAATTGTTAAGAACAAATAGTTGTAAAACAAACAGAAAGCACAAACTTCTATAACTATAATCCTGCTTATATAACGATTGTAAGTATAAGGATAAACTATTGCAAGGAATCAGTCCACGTGAGCAAACAAGATCATAATAATGTCCACACCCAATAACATAGACACTATGTAATATGTGCTGTTCCAGGACGGACAGCCCTCCTGCACATCAAACAGTGCAATGTAGTAACTGTGAATTCGGAGCTAGTATAGTTATCTGACCATTGACAAAGTACAACAATTTTTTTACTTAATTTCTTACAAGTTAAGTAAGTGAAAATTTTCAAAAATCCTTTTGTCCAAAACTGAGGGAGCGGGACAGTTCAGTTGAGGGGGCGATGCCCCCTTTTAATGCAAACAAGTACAAGCAGGTAACCAAATTATATTAAATGTGAAATGTAATGTTTGAGAAGGTTATCTCTGAAAAAGGCTTTTGTAGCTACAAATGTGTGGGAACCAAAAAATGGCAAACAGAATGCTACCATTCTATTAAAATCACAGAACTCTTAATTGCTGTTATGTTTTTCTAACTATTTATAAATGTGGTCACCACAATACAACAAACATATTTCTTCTCTGGAATAATATTCAGATTCCAGAAAAGAGAGAGATTATATATTTCTGGGCTGAAAGTAATGCCCTACTCTGGACAGGCTAAAATAAGTATTGTTTAATCAGAAAGAGACTATGAGGGTACTTGTTTCAAATATTTAGATTTCTCAAAAAAGTTCTTTAGGAATGTTTCTTCAGAATTTAAACACTTTTTCAAAGTACAATACATGTGTATTATCACGTTCTGTAACATAAATCAACAGAAAACATTTTAGTCATTTTTTATACAGTAGATGCTATAGAATTCATAACATATATATATATACACATTATGTGATGATTACCTCAGCACCTAAAACTTATTTTGGTCCTGCCTGATTGCATGAGCTGCAATGACTGAGACTAGAATTTTAAATCTAGCAAACCAGCAAAAAGGGACAGAAGCAGATGTTAAATGGAGGAATGATTGTTGAGTCCAAATCCCCAAGCTTACCTAAGAGCTGCCAGGTTCTTCAAAGCATATCGTATGAGTTTAGCCATAGGAGTGAAGCCAGTACCAGCTGCTAGCAGATACAGGTCTGTGATGTCTTGGATACGACTGGTTCTGAACTGGCCTCCAGGATTGCTTATGTACAGAGTAGCCCCTAGAAGGACAGAAGATGAAAGGAACATTTTATTTTTATGGCACAACACTTCTACACAGATATGGGTGTCTGACAACCACTGATCATTAAGAAAGCATTTGAAAAAAGTAATGTCTGCATGAATTGAAGGTAATGCAGCTAACACTGAACTAGTACTAATAGATTACAGTGAAACTGAAATCAAAGGACAATTCTGAGAGGTCCTCGGGTCAATTTATGTTGTTACATAAAAACATGGCTGAGCATGTTTTTTTTTAGAGAGGAAAATAAGACTGTAGGATCCCCCATTAACGGTAATTACTTGACCTCATGATTAAGTCATACTTTACAGGATTGCCGGTAAAGGAAGGCTTTCACTCCATTCTTCAACTATTTGTGAAGAATTTATAAACATAATGGAACAAAGACTGATTGACTCACATTCACTGATCCCTACAATGTTACAAGAAATGGCAGATTTTCTAACATTTATCTAAATAAGACATAGTATTGTAATTTGCTTTTGCAGGAGATGGATACTGGCCTAGTAAATGACAGAGATCACTGTTATGACAGTGCCAGTAAGATATTAGAGGCATACGAAGGCCTGCATGAATTTGACCCTTTGGCTGACTGAATAAAGTGCCTTGAGAATGTTTCAGATTGAAATGCACTATGTAAGAATAAAGACTGATTGAATGCCATAACTCAATCTAGCCTAAAGACAAGATCCAGTTACTGTGTGATAAAGAACAGCTTGTGAAGCATAGGAGTTTAACTGAAAAGAAAAAACCTGTACTTTGAAGAGTCCCTGACCTATCAGGCTCAATGTGTACTTGCTGAGAATGAAAAGCCAAATATTTTCATCCCTCTTAGATGATGCAGATTCATGAAAACAGTTGCCACGATTATTACATTAATCAAATTTTGAATATTTAAAGTGGAAAAAAATAGCAGTTAAGCTCACATCACAAATCCAGTGCAATTTTCTCTTTACTGACAGAACTGTAAGGCAAAAAACAACTAGAAAATCCCTCTCCCCAAAACAAATCAGTTTGCTACATTTCGCCAATATCTGTTCTATTTGCATACAGTTCCTTTACGTTGAGTACTATGATTCTACTGTACATCAAAAACAAAGTTGAAATCTGTGCCTTGGCTTATTCAGGGTAGAATAACAACAATGTATAAAGATGTAATGTAAAGCTATGTTGTCTAACTTCAGAAATGTTTATCTTATAGAACAAAAGAGATAAGAACATCCTAATTTAATCTGTGTAAGCCAAATATCACTTATTGTGAAGATGGGGCTAATGTTACAAAAATGACCAGTTTTAATACATTAAGTAGAATATTGAGTAAAGCTTTAATATATTTGTTTCAACATTGGTCACACCACCTCAGATTTTACTTACAGCTGTGCAACGAATTTGGAACATAATTGATTAGTAATCTTGTCTCCTAATTTCCAGAATATGCCAGGAAAAAAAAAATAATTTTGCTTAAAAAACATTTTCCTCATTGTGTGGATTATTCATAAAACATACCATAGTGGCAAAGGCGGGTTTACTTGTTGTGTTTTTTATTTACAGGTCACAAATAGGGCTTATTCCCATGGAAGCTGCATTACCGTGGCAGAACTAAACACTGTCAGAGCACCCCTTTCCTCAACCTTTATGACTCACTCTCAATGCACACAAGTACGTACACTGGAGTGAGTCATGACAATTGATGACAATAAATGGATGTTATTGCCTATAAAATACCATGTACTGAGCTTCTCCTCATGGAGTACATGCTATTCATGAAGTACATGGTTATTAAAGGGAAAAGTTGAATGTTGTTCTGTTCCATTTTCATATGAGTAATATATTGGTGCCTGACATGACAATTTAATGAATGTAAATTGAATATATACAGTGCAATAGTAGCACTGCAATCTGCAACCAATGTCCATTTCTGACAGTAATATAGTTACAAATCATTTTGACTAAGCTACAATGGGTGTAGGACTGCATTACACTAATTTTTTGGCTCACACCTTTATTTAACCTGTATGCCAAAAGCAAAATGTGAAGATTAATTTTAATTAATAATTAAAATGAATGAATATGCCCTTACTGGAAATAAGAATAATTATGAAGTCTTGATATAATATGTGTTTCACTCATTTCTTTCGATCATGTGAAGATGGCTGGTCATGTCAGTCGTGTTTTCTTTCTTTTACACTCACTTCAGATCATTT